ACCGGTAAAGCAACGAGATCTGAAGATGAAATTGATAGCTTGCATAATTGCATCATTCTAGGCTTTATTTAGTATACATTTTCATTCCATTTCATTCATTTTAGAGTCCAAAGTGTCTCATTTTCATTCACATTAGACTTAGTGTACATTAAGATTAGGAATGCATGCATTGTTGCATTTGGAGTGTATTTCAGGTCTTTATGGAGCTAAAGAGGCCATTGGAAGAATGGTGATTGAAGTGAAGAAGAAGAGCCAAGCCGAGAGCAAAAGATCAAGTTGTTTTCAGCTATATCGAGCAGATGCACTGAAGAGGCCTAGAGATGTCCTGTCTGATGTGAATTACACCGAGGGGTTATGACTGTTATGCTGGACCAGAGGATGCACCGAGCAAGCGCACTGTGGAGAGCCAACTAACCTAGCCTGATATCCGAAGACACATGACATATCGAGCATGTGCAACGAGAAGAACCATTCCATATCATGCTCGATGCGTTCTGAGTCGAAACCATGATTGAGGAGTCGGTCGAGCTAACCGTCCAATGTAGTATTTCCTAACGCACCGAGCAAAGCACAGCGACCATACCTGAAGCTATTCTGCCCAGTGCGATTTATACAACTGTTGACCAAAATTTGACTATTTAGTTGACTATGTTATTTTTGTTGACCAAGACTATTTTGGGGCTTTTTAATAAATAGGTTTGGCCTTAAAGACATTATCTTATCGAGCTTTTTATTTTTTCTTAGTTGCAAGAAAACATCTACCTTTGTCTAAGGTTTTGTATTTCTCTCAAGAATAAAGATTTGTTCTTGGACCTTTATTTTTAATAAAGCTTTGTATTTGCCTTTGAATCTTTTTTGCTTATCTACTCATACCTATGTTTAACCATACCTTTGTGAATTTAAATATGTTACTGAGTATCACTTATAGATTTGAGATTGAGGTAAATAAATGTGGTTCTAATGATTGTTTAAGATGTTAGGGTGTTCCCTTTTGCCTGAAATAGATCTTGGACCTTTCATCACCACACATGTGTTTGATGAAATACTTGAATAAGGTCAAAGCTTGAAAATGGTGTTTAGATTGTCATGATTCTTTACATCTATCATTTTTTACTTGGTTGTGGTTAATGCTGGAGTACTTAAGGGGTTGAGAAATCGTCTCTGGATGTTGATTATGCATGGGACTATGAGTTAATATCTGAACTATTGCACAAGAGATTAGTAAATCTAACCTAAAGGATTAGATGTGTAGCATGCTTTTTGGTTTTTATGAATATTGTGATTGAATGTTTGCTTGTCAAATATACACCATTGGCCATATATTTGAAATGTGATAAGTCAATGATATTAGTACATGGGAGTGGATTAGTCCATAATAGAAATCTTTGTCTATAGATAAATAAATATATTGAATTGATTATTTGCAACATGAATTAGAACCACTTAAATCAAATTACCTTAGTCTTAAGTCTTGCCTTTTAATATTCGAATATGAACTAAACCTTGACTTTTAATATTCCAAAATGTTAGTTAATTGCTTTGTTTTGCTCCGTTTGTGATCACCATTTTTGCAATTTCTTAGTTTAAATTTCATATCTTTAAATATTCGTGGTTTGATTTCTTGGTCACTTGTTTGCACTTGCTTAATTATTGAGTGTAAATTTTTTAAACACCCATTTTAACCTAATTTAACAAATTTGTTACATCTTTCTACATTATTTCTCGGTCTAAATTGATAACTCATTTCCATTATACAACAAAATGTAAGCATAAACATTGCTCCAAATAGGAGTAAAAAACTACTCGACGGTGACACTTTTATAAGAGAAAAAAATTAGGTCAAACCCCTTTTATTAAGTTTACACTGTATGTTAAAATCTGCTATTTAAGCTTACGATCATAATTTTTACCAATCAAAACTTTAAAAGTCTTAACCAAACAGGCCTTAAATTACATTTACGTAAACTGAAAAGGATAATTCATTATCTCTTTATGAATATATCGTTACAATACTACATATATCATGCAAATCTCCACATTGATCCTTTTCAAACGAACGAGAAGACTATAAATGAAACAAAAAAAATTTGTTTTGTTATATAATCAATACAACAATAACACATATGTTTCTCTTTGTGAAGACACATCAGCTTTTTTAAGCTCTCCTAAGATGACATCTCAGCCCAAAAATTGATCAATGAAAATATTTTATTAATACAACTCATTAAAAAATATTTTCAGTTCATTTGGGTCAAAAAATTTATCCAAGATTAACAACTAAATAAAACACATTACATTAGAAAGCCCATAAAATCCTTTGATATAAATAATTATTAAAACAAAACAAAATTTCTCTCTTTTTTCCTTCAAATTATCATTAAATATCAGGTCTCGTCAATCTTATTTTATTACTCTACCTGCTGCATCGGATTTTTGCGTTCTTTTTTTAAAAAAATATGGATAAACAACAAGATACTACTAGAAATTTTTTAGTTTACTTTCTCAGAAAACAATCTTTTTATTTTAAGTTTGAAAATTATTTTGCTTTCTTTTTAGGTAGAAAGATTCCCAAATTATTATCCTAATATAGTTCAACTTTTGGCTGACTTTTCGCAGAAAAATACAATTTCACAGTTTTTTCGAGAAAATGCAATTCGACGATTTTGGCGGAAAAATGCAATTTCTCAGTTTTGTTAGGAAAATACGATATCTCAGTTTGGCAAGAAAATAATTTTTCTTGGCTTTGGCGGGAATAGGAAATTTCTCAGTTTGGTGGAAATAGGAGATTTCTTGGTTTTGATAGAAAAATGTGATTTTCAGTTTTGGTAAGAAAACATAATTTTTTGTTATAGTGGAAAAAGCGAATTCTCGGGTTTGGCATGAAAATGTGAATTTTCAGTTTTGGTAAGAAAACAAAAAAAAAATTGATTTTGATGGAAAAACAAAATATTTTAATATTGACGGAAAATGTGATTTTTGGTTGTGATGGGAAATAGAACTTTTCAATTTTGACTAAAAAATGTGATTTCTCTGTTTTGATAGGAAACACAAATTTTCGACTCTTGACGGATAATATGATTTCTTAATTTTCGCGGGAAAATGTGTTTTCTTAGTTTTCGAGAGAAATTGCAATTTCTTGGTTTGATGGGAAATGTACATTTTCAGTGTTTGAAAAATAATGTGATTTTCTGGTTTTTGCGAGAAAAAAAAATTTCGGGAGAAAATTGAATTTTTGGTTTTCGCGAAAAATTATAGTTTATCGGTTTTGGTCGGAAAGCGTAATTTTTGGATTGACGAGAAAATAAATTATTTGGTTTTGGTGGGAGTAGACGATTTCTTGGTATCCGTGGGAAAACGAATTTTTTGGTTTTGATGAGAAAATACGTTTTTTGGGTTTTTGTAGGAAGATGAAATTTTTTTTGTTTTGGTGAAAAAACGCGATTTCTCGGTTTTGGCGAAAAAACACAATCTCTCGCCGGAAAATGTGGTTTCTTGGTTTTTTTGGAAAAATACGATTTCTTTATTTTAGTGGGAAAATAAAATTTTATGTTTGACGAGAAAATAAATTTTTTTTTGTTATGGCGGGAATATGTAATTTTTCAGTTTTCGTAGGAATATGAAATTTTTTATTTTTTTTTTTGACAGGAGATGCTATTTCTCGGTTTTTGTAAGAAGATAAAATTTCTCTTTACTAAAATTTCAAGTTACAATATGTTTACAGTAACCAAAATTTAATTATTTAACTTCAACTAAATCGAAAGTTCAAGAGTTTAAATAGAATTTTCTGTTTAGTTCAAAAGCAACAACAATGGTTTTGATATGAATGTTATTGATTATAGTTTGATGGTTTTAAAAAAAATAGATTTATAATAAAATTTTTGATAAATAAATAAATTTGTACTTCAAAATAATCATTTAATTAATAAATCTTTTTTAAATAGTATTTTGCTTAACCTAATTACAAAAGATGATCAATTGGCAATTTAGTGGAGAAAATATATTATATTTACCATTAGCATGAAATTACTTAAAAACATATTACTTTATTCTTATATATACATTTATAGTTAGTTAAATAACAGCTATTTATAGTTTTAAAAAGTAAAAAAATTAAGGATATACAATGTTTATTCAGATTTAAAACATATAAATATATAACTTAAACTAATAAAAAATAAAATAATACTCATTTACATTATAAAAATAATTTTATTATATTAAAAATATATATAAAATTTAGAAAAATATCCTGCAGCGTAGCGCGGGTAAATACCTAATGTGTTTTAATTTTTCTATAAATGCAAGCTTTTATCCAGCTGGCAATTCCACAAAAAAATCAGTTAGACAGATAGAAAATAAGAAAAGAAGAAATTCAGGTGCTTTGACAAGCAAACATTAGTGGTTCATGTAAATTTTAAATTAAATAATAAACAACTCACACATACATACAAAAAGAAAGAGAACTCCAAAAATGACTTTCTTCCAAAAACCACTCACGTCACGTGTGGACAAAACCAAACAAAGTTTCTCTCTTTCTCAAATCGCAGCCAAAAAAACACAAATTTTATCTTTAATTATTTTATTTTACTAATTTAGGAGGAAAATTAACAAAATCTTTGGTTATATCCTCTCCGATCTTTTCGGTGACTCGTTACTTCGTTTCGATTTTCTCGCAATTCCTCGGAAAATTCCAGCCAATCCCGTGAAAATCACACAACAGCTATTTTCGTTAATCCTTCCCCTTATTTCTACTTGTCATCCACCGATTTTTTTACTTTCTCCTCCTGGGATCGTCATGATTTGATTGAAACATAACCAGGATCAATGATGAGTGACCTGAACAAAGATGGGTCAGTTTTCACTAGATTCTATTTTCTCGGGGAAATCGAATTTCTCTGAGACGGTTATCTCTATAATCTGAAGATCCCAGAGAGTTTCACGATTCTCTCTCTCTCTCTCTCTCTCTCTCTCTCTCTCTCTCTCTCTCTCTATTTTGGGTTATGACTCGTCACGTGATACTGAAATCGCCGTTATTGGCGTCTTCGGATGAATCAACGATGAGAAACTCTCCGACGACGATGAGCAAACACGGGGAGAGGAGGAAAGTGGGAGAGGTTGCGGGAGGGGCAGCGGCGGAGTGCGCGGCTGTTTGGTGTTGTTGCCCTTGCGCGGTGGTGAATCTGGTGGTTTTGGCCGTGTATAAGGTTCCGGCGGCGGTTTGCAAAAAAGCGTGGAGACGAAGCAAACGACGACATTTTATGAGGAAACGGCACGGTTTGCTTGCGTCAGCGGCGGCGGAAGGGAGTCAGAGCACCGTACACGCTAGATTGAAGGAGGAAGATCCAACGGCTGAGATTGTTTTCGAGGAAAGCGGAGCGAATTGCGAGTTAAACGACGCCGTTATGCTTGACAATGAAATGTTGGAGCGTTTCTATGGGGCAGGCTTTTGGAGAAGCCCGTCACAGAGAGACACGTCATCTGGAAGTTTTTAAATTCTTTGGGTTTTTCAGAGAATAATAGTAATTAATTTAATATGTTATAATATTTATATGTGACTTCAAATATCATGTGGGTATGTGAATAGGAGAGAAACGTAGCATCGGTTACACATCGTTTTTTATTTTGGGGTCTTTTGTTCGTTTGAAATGTAATTATCTCTCATTGTTTTTTCTTAAAGGATTTCGTATTAAAATATTTTTGGTGCCCAAATAAGTTGGATTTTTGAGAATTTTACAAATTATAAGACAGAACAGAAAAATTAAGAGTTAATTGGCAAAATAACCTAATTAAAATTTGGAATTGAAAAATACACTATTCTTTTGATTTTTGGATAACTACACCTTTTTTTCTTCCCATAACTAATCTTATTAATTTGTAAAAACACTATATTAACCAGATTTTAATTAAAAGATATATAAATAAAAATAAAAATTATGATTTTGGTTGAAGATAAAGATATTGAATATTTGCTATTTTTATAATTTAATAAATTTTAGTATTTGAGAATATATTTTTATAAAAAACATAATTTAATGTTTATATAAAGAAAAGTCCAAAAGTGAAATATCGATATTAAGTTTTGAAACCTGCAAAAAAAAAACAGAGGTTTTTTATTCCAAAAACAGAGTTTTTTTAGGGGAAATTACTCATAAGAGCAGTGAAATTATAACTTTTAACCCTTATGATCAAACAAAAAAATGTTAACTTTCAATTATTGTTCTATCTCAGAGAAGTCTACTCTCTAATAATTTGTATACAATTAATTTTTAAAATCATAAAAAATAATTTGATAAAAAAAAAGTAGATACATAACACAAATATATATTTTTTACACTTACTAAAAATAAAATTTGATACAAAATAATCAATTTAAATCATCATTGATAAATTAGGATAGAAATCAATACTAAGTAGACTTCTCGAGTATACTTCTTGAAGAAGTCTACTCTCTAATAATTTCTTTACCATTAATTAAAAAATTATAAAAAATAATTTGGTAAAACAATTATTTACATAACAAAAACATATACTTTTTACACCTACTAAAAAATCAAATTTGATACAAAATAATCAATTTAAATCATCATAGATAAATTAGGATAGAAATCAATACTAAGTAGACTTCTCGAGTTCTTGAGTAGACTTCTCGAGTACCATTAATTCAAAACAATCATGAAAATAATTTGGTAAAACAATTATATACATAACAAAAACATATATTTGTTACACCTATTAAAAATAAAATTTGGTATAAAATAATCAATTTCAATCACCATAGATCAATTATGATAAAAATCAATAATAAGTAGACTTCTCGAGTAGACTTCTCGAATAGACTTCTTGGAGAAGTCTACTCTCTAATAATTTCTTTACCATTAATTAAAAAAATCATGAAAAATAATTTGGTAAAACAATTATATACATAACATAAATATATACTTTTTACACTTATTAAAAATAAAATTTGATACAAAAAATCAGTTTAAATCATCGTAGATAAATTGATAGAAATCAATACCAAGTAGACTTCTCGAGTACTCTCTAATAATTTCTTTACCATTAATTAAAATAATCATGAAAAATAATTTGGTAAAACAATTATATACATAACAAAAATATATACTTTTGCACCTATTAAAAATAAAATTTGATACAAAATAATTAATTTAAATCATCATAGATAATTTAGGATAGAAATCAATCATAAGTAGACTTCTCGAGTAGACTTCTTGGAGAAGTGTACTCTCTAATAATTTCTTTATCATTAATTAAAAAAATCATGAAAAATAATTTGGTAAAACAATTATATACACAACTAAAACATGTACAATTAGCATCTATATAAAATAAAATTTCATGAAAATGAATCAATTTATAAGTTTCATAAGTATACAATTCAAAATGGTTAGGGTTGAGGTTTAGGGTTAAGGGTATAAGATTGTAATACCTAGGGTTTGGACAAATTCTATATGAATCATAGTTTATGATTCAGTTAATGAATCATGGTTCATATATTTGTTATTTTAACTACGAGTTGTCAATATGGTAAGTAAATTAATGTTTTCATATAAGTTTTAATCAAAAAAATTGATTTAGGGTTTATGGTTAAGTAGACTTCTCGAGTAGACTTCTCGGACAAGAGTAGACTTCTCGAGTAGACTTCTCGGACCAAAGTAGACATCTTGAATAGATTTCTCGGACCGAATTAGACTCAAAAGTCGACTTCTTCGATCGGTTATGTCCGAGTAAAATAAAAACACTCCAAATGAACCGAACAATTTTACTAACCCTTTATTAACAAGCCTATATATTCCATTTCACCACAAAGAGCAGCATTTACTTTTTATTGCACAAACCCTAATTTCTCTGAACTTGTAACCACCATTTGGGGGATTTTTGTCGCTATTTCTGTCGTCGTCCTCTACCGTCGTCGCCGCCGCCGCTTGAACTTGTCATCACCGTTTGTAAATTGTCAATGAAGGTAAACTATGTTTCTCTCTCTCAGTTCTCTCACTTCTGTATATCTCTTTATCTGTATATAGACCTTAATCAATTTCGTTAATCTCTTTTCATCGCCGCCTCGTTGCCTCATCACTGCTGGTAATTCTGTCCTCATTTCTCTTTGTCTGGCATCTGTTAGATTCAAATTTTTGCCCTAGATATCATTGCCGCTGATTTGGAAATTTTTTGTTTGGGTTTATAGATGTCGACGATGCTGTTGGTTGTCTCTGCCGGATTTCAGTGTTCGCAAAGGTAATTTTAGAATTTGTATCAGACTTCTCGAGTAGACTTCTCGAGTAGACTTCTCTAGTAGACTTCTCTTTCAAGTAGACTTCTCTTTCAAGTAGACTTCTGTTTAAGTAGACTTCTCTTTCAAGTCGACTTATCGAAGAAAAGTAGACTTCTCGGAGAAAAGTAGACTTCTTTCTGAACTAGACTTCTGGCTTTTGCAAATAATTATATAATTATTGCCTATTTATGTCGTCATTGGTTTTTCAGGATGGAGAAGTCCAAGTTTCTAAGGAGATTATTCACAAAAGGCGAGGAGCCCGAACCTAGAAAAAGTATAGCCTACTACAACAACGATAGGAAGATGTTTCCTGCATTGGAAGCAGTTCTGGAAGAAGATGTATGGGAAGACCTTTTGGAATCAAGGCTCAGTGTTTTTCTACAGTGTTACAAACTGAATTTTGGCTGGGCGTGGAGGGTGGTGCAGTTTATACTCGGTTTTCAGCTGGACTGCAAGAACAAGTATGAGATATGGAGTTTCATAAACGCAATTTCCACTGAGGTTTTCACTCAATGAGTCTGAACACCTCACCGTTCTCAACTGCGAGAATGTTAAGGAACCGGAGGAATAGAAGTTACTCCTAAGATGAAACTTTTTTGGGAGAAGCTTGGCGTTAGTGTAGATGTTGGCCCCACCGTTGACAATCTTACAGAAGCATGTAAGCGTGCTGGGGACTGGACAAGGGATGAGATGCTTATGTTAGGATTTTTATGCATCTATGATGGATTCATTGAGGCAAAGAAGAGGGATTCACCCACACGGTTGAACTATGCCAGACTAGTCATAGATGTCAAGGCATTTGCAAATTACCTGTGGGGAATAGAGGCTTTCAATACCCTCATAGAGTCTGTCAAAAGAGCAGATTTGACGAGGACAGTTATTTGTTATGGGTTTTGTCGAAGTGCTCCAAATTTGGGCGTATTATGCTATGCCAGATTTTGGGAGGCAATACAGAAATCCCTTTCCCAACAACCCAACTCCACCGGTGGTGGCTTACAGCGGTTCCCGAAAACGAAAATACAGCAAAGAAGCTATGCTTAAACAGGTAATCCTAAACTATATTTGCTTCTCTAGTAGACTTATCGAGTAGACTTCTAGAGTAGACTTTTAGAGTAGAGTTCTCGAGTAGACTTCTCGAGTAGACTTTTCCTCAAGTAGACTTCTTCTCGAGTAGACTTCTCGAGTAGACTTCTCCTCGAGTAGACTTCTTCTCGAGTAGACTTCTCCTCGAGTTGACTTCTTCTCGAGTAGAATTCTTCTCGAGTAGACTTCTTCTTGAGTAGACTTCTTCTCGAGTAGACTTCTTCTCGAGTAGACTTCTTCTCGAGTAGACTTCTCGAGTAGACTTCTTCTCGAGTAGACTTCTCGAGTAGACTTTTCAAGTAGACTTTTATATATAATTTTTTACGTAGACCTCTGTAACATATATATCCCAATTGTTTGCAGGTTAGCTTCAGCAAATTTTCTGTCAAGGAACGGGAGGAGATGTTCCCTACCTGGGATGATGAAGTAGATGATGTCCTTACCGAGAATGTTATCAAAGCCATGTTTGGGGAGTTTAGTTCTGGTGGTTGGAAGTGGAAGCCCAGTGACTAGCGGTCCAAAGGTGTTAAGGAGTCTATCGTCGTGAAGTTAGAGGTCACAAAGGGCAAAAAAAGAAGCGTTAAACCAGACGATGAAAGTCGCGTTGACCCAGACGATGAAAGCCAGAAGAAGACTTGTCCAGTGCCTCCTTCTGGCATAGAAGAGGAGGGTTGGAAGAGTCTGGCCGAGGCATTGAAACAACATTTCTCAGAATGTTGCAAAACATTGTCTAGGGAATTGAAGGCTGGGTTTGAGGCGTGCGATAAGAAGTTTGACCTCCTATCTGAAAAGGTTGTCGCCATGGAGCATACTATTGCCAAGATTAAAGATGTAAGGGATGAGGAGCATGTCAAGTCAAACGATGGTCGGATTATTACGGATCCCTCTCTCAAATATACTAAAAAAACTTCTAAAACTGCTAAGACTGCTAGGCCTTCGTTAACTCCAGTTGTTAGGCTTACTAGGGCAAGAGCGAGGGGAAACCAGTCTAAAAAGAACTAGATGTTGTTGTATTTTTTTATGTTTTCAAAATTTTGTACCTGTACCCTGTACCGTTTAACTTTTCTTTTGTTTACTTGAACCAATTCCAATAACTAAATCATTATATTCTGTAATGTT